TAAAACAGCATTTTTAAGCTGAATGAAAACTAGGTAGCCTCTTACCACTCCTCTACAAATCTGCAAACATTGCTGAATGTCACACATTCCCTGGAAGCTACACATGTAACCATCAACCCAGCATATACCTGGTACACACAAAGGTTAAGAATCCATAATTCATCTTCTTAGGCTATGTTATAGACCTGGAAATGCAGAAAAAATGTCCCAACAAAAAAATCTGTAACCATTACATTATAATTTTTCAGCATATATTTATTGGACATCAAAAATGTAATGATCAAAATCCCAAAACATGAACATTAGCACTGAGGCTGGTGGACACAAATCTGCCACATCAACTCTACAGTCAATGATTGGCAGATTTTTATCCTCCTTTCCCCAAGATTGAACTGGAGCCAATTTTCATCTGACCAGTGATAAACAGGTACTCTTCAGCAACAAAGGAAGGAGGCTTAAACAAGACTGACACATAAAGAAGAGAATGCATGGTGGGATTGCAAGAATGATAAATTAGATCGATGATTCACATCCTTACGTCAGAGATGCTTTAGGGGGAAAAATGCAAACAAAAAATCTCTGATTATAGAGATGCTAAATGGGCTCCTCCACTCATGGCTGGCATACTCTGGAATCTGTTTGTGAAACTATTTTATTTTTTTAATTTTTATTAATTTTATTGATATATTTTAGGTATACAATATAATGACATTCATCATTGGGAATTTGCACCTTTACGTAATCTCTCTTGGTTCTTATTTCTTCCCCATTCTCCTGGCCTCCCTTCAACCCCTCCACCCCTCCCTATTTACATAGACTTTGTTTCCATTTTTTCCATTTTCTCGGCCACCAAGATTCTAACAAAAGCTTCTATCTTTTATTTAACTAGAGAAAATAAGGCTGCGAGAACATCAGACAAATCTGATTCACACAGTCCTACTAACCAGTTTTCAACTCTATCCCCACCCAGGCCAAGGAAAGGCTCCTCACAAGTGTTCCATCTTAGAATTGCATACCAACAATTCCCAGCTATCAATAAGCAGATAATCCATAAATAGCATATTACTACTGTACTGTGTATAATGTATTTATATATTATTTATAGCTAACCAGAGCATTATCATAATCACAAATATAAAAGCAAGGCAGTAAAGAGATGGTTAGGTAGCTGGAAATACTGACAAAGTCCATTTATTTAAGAGTCTGAGAATCTAATGAATAAATAGGAAACAAATGTGAGTTTTAACTTGGCAGAGTGGGCTAGGACAAAAGATACATTGCTCCTCTATATCTCAATTAAAATTAGATGTCTAAATTAGAGGATAAAGAGTGAAAAATATTTTCCTTAACAAATGAATTTTTATTATGTTGTATCTCCTTGGGGAACACCAATTACACTAATGACAGGCTATACTTTGTTTTAACATCAGGTCTGGACCTGCCTGACTTCTTATCTCAGGCACTACATTTGACAAGTAAGTGGTAATCTATGGCTTGACATAAGTCACTATACTATGTCTCAAGTAATTTAAAATAATTAAAAATACCAACAAAAACTGAATATACTCCAAAACTAGCAAACTACCCTTTAGAAAAAGAACTTCCTTTTGTTAATGAAAGAAATGTTGGCCTCCCACTAGCACATACAAACATCTTAAATATTTGTTCAGTCACTGAATATCCACAAGAAATTTATGAGAAAAAAGACTGAATAAGTAATAATGAAGAAACAAAAATATTTCTGAGCTTCTAAAGTATACTCTGAGCAAACATTTACAACAGATATTTTGCAGAGCAAATAGGCCACTAAAGAATAAGGCCTTTTAGATTCCTGCATTTTCAGATTTTTTGTTCTTTTCCTCCTGAATTTCCCATTGCCTGAATAGAAATCTCAGAATCAAAATCAAAAGACCTTTTTTTTTTTAACATATAATTCACACTCCCCCACTCCTGCTTTGCTGTCAAGTGTCTGACCCTGGTTTGATAATCTCATTTCCTGAGAATCAAAAAGCTGGAAATTTAAGCTTCCCAGAGTGTTAATTGCGGCCCTGCTCTATTGCTAATCAAAAAATTGGATGTTTTACATGAAAATGCTTCTCTAATTAATTCTCAGTCATAAATCACCCTGGTTTTAATAACCCCTCCTTGATTGGATAGCCTTTGAAGAGACAGTGCAGCTAATCCGCTAAACTAGAAAAAACACACGCAGAGGAAATAATAAGTGGGCTTACAAGGTATGAACTAGATGATTGCATTAATACTGTCAAACCAAAAAAGTGAATGTCCTTTCCAGGCCTTTTATGCCTCACCCTGTACCCCATAAAATAAACCATGAAACCAGGAATCATGAACAAAAGCAAGTGTCACAGAGTTCACGCATCAAAAGTTAAATCTTTTCACTCTCTGTCTACAAAACAGCTATTCCTATCATTTTTAAAAAAGAGGTTTCCCTTGACATTTTTTCCCTAGAAACCAGAGATCCAGCAATGTCCACTTGTCATATTGTCTATTTTAATAAGACAAGGTTTGTGCTTCCCCCTTCCCTCTGCTTCTGACTGACAATATATTATCATACATATCTCTAAGAGGTGCTGAACTGAATTTTCATTATCCAAAATGTCAAGATTCGTTTTTGTCATCAGCGAACACAGCTGGTCTACACCAGCAGCCCTTTGATTAATTCAAATGGAACAAGTCACCTATACATAACTTCATTTTCCTTAGACTAGGCCTTGCATTCTGCAAGTTTTAATTTACAGCTTGTCAGTTTAAGATACCATTTGCTGCCATGGTGGCACTCAAAAAGTGGAAAGTCTTAATTAGCAGCACTTCGCATTAGCCCTGTGATTACCAATAAAACAACCATTGGGAATTTTTAGCTTCAAAGCAAGACTTATTCAGAACTTTCTCACAAACCTTCAGATGATGGAACTATACAGACACACAATAATAATTATTTTTAGTAAGCACTATCTTAACATGTAAATAAATATATCTGTGGCTTTGCAGTTACAGTACTTATGAAACAGTAAAACGTATTCTGTGACACATGAAAACTTAATGAATTTAGATACAAGTTATTTCAAAAGAAATTATACAGAATAAAAGGTGTGGGGTTATTATTATAAGAGCAAAAAGATTTAAGATTGATTCCAATTTGGGTATAGAAGGCCCAAATCCACAATTTTATAGCCTGTATATCACTAAGATGTTATATTAAGAATAGACTAGTGACCACAATGAAATACCATTACACTTCCAGATGAATGTCTAAAATTGAAACAACTGACAATACCAAGTTTTGGCATATACTGCTAGTAGGAATATAAAATGATGTGCTCACTTTAGAAAACTAGCAGTTTCCTTAAAAAGTTAAACATATACTAACCATATGACCCACCAAGTCTATCTTGATGTATTATTCCCTTTGGGTTTGGACTAAAACTACCACTGGCTTTTCTGGGTCTTCAGCTTACAGATGAAAGATCACAAAGATTTCTCCAATTCCACAATTGAATGAGCTAATTTCTCATAAAAAAAATATTTCTATATATCTGGTGTTCCTCTGGAGAAACATGACAAATATATAATCATGTATCTTTTTATGGTACTAATTGGATATCACGCTGTAAGGAAGTGATTTCAAATTGGAGGCAAGAGGAAGGCAAAACAGCAATGTACACAAAACAATGCCAAATGTTCAAATACATTTAATTCATAAATGGGAGGAATTTTATCCTTTCCATTTGTCACAGCCTAATCATTTTGTATTATTTGTGTAGTAAAATCAAAGCTAGTGCTTGATGATCAAAACATTTTTAAAAAGAAATGTGCATGTTCATTATAGACTCTGGTATAGATACAGGCTGGGAAGAGTAGGCTGCTAAAAATTCAAATCAATGGCTGTGGCCCTCCAAGTTTATATATATATATATATATATATATATATTTCCTGCCCAGACTCTCACAATAGAAGTCACTTAACATTACAACCTTAAGGATGATCACTGAGGTAAACACAATTTCTCAATACTCTAAAAGGACTTTTGTCAAAGAAAAACAAGTTAAAAAAAAAGTTTCTAGGGACCATTTCAGAAGATACAACTTAAAAGTATGTATTCATTACTAATACAGGTATTCATTCATTAATTTATAAAAACATTTGTTGATGTCTCCTACATGTGGAGAATGACGCCTGGTGCTGAGAGTCACAGATAAAAAGCAATAGTCAACATTTGCTCAGTACTTAATATGTTCTAGGAACAGTTCTAAACATTTTACACATGTTAATTCATTTCAATCTCATTATAATCCTTTGAGGATAAGCATATTATATTCACAGTTTATAGAAAATGAAGTAACACGTAGAAGAGTTAATTTGCAAAAAGTCACCAAGGTAGTTATTCTAACTACAGAAAACACACTCTACTTAGACTTTGATCTCTGCAAGAGATAGAGAGCAAGGGGCTGAGAATCTAAGAACCTGACCTTTGGAGACAAATACTGTTCACAGAAACAATTTAACTTCATTTTTCTTTTTACAACTGAGAAAACTGGTTAAGTAATTTGCACAGAATCAGAGAAAGTTATTATGAAAAATGCTTGAGTTTAATACTAAAAACATAGGATACAACTAGGAAAAAATTAAAGAATTCATACTCTTTGGAGAATAAAATGCATACTAAAATTAACATATCCATCAAAACTTAGAAAGAAGAATATAACACTTGCAATTTAAAATAAAGGAGGACAAGGAAAGGAAGAAATCCTTAACTCCAATACTCTAGTCTTTAAAATCATACAGTTATAGGTAAACATGAATTGCTGAAAGCCTTAAATTTGAGGAAGGAGATGACAGATTAGATTAATAAAATTATATTAGATTATATTTGATATATCAAACAAGAGTGACAAAGACAAAAATATATGCTAAGAAAGCTGTCTTCATTCTTAACTAGCACTCTACAAAAGCTATTTCTCTTTTTATATTTCCTTTCTTAACAAATAACATCATTATCTACCCAAGTCACCAGATTGGAAAACTGGTAACCAGCCAAAATGTGCGTCTCTTGCTCAAACTCCACACAGAATGTCATGTCCAACTGATTCTACCTCCAAATTAGCGTTTGGATTTCTTCCCTCCTGTCCAAAAAAGGTGGCATAGTCTTCTATAAGCTCTCACCTGAAATAACAACACAACTTACTTCCTTGTTGCCAACCTTACTGTACTCAATTCATTTTCACTGCAGACACAAGAAAACTTTCTAAAACATAAATTTGACTATATTACTTTACTACTCTGAACCTTTAGAGGACTCCTTATTATCTATAAGGGAAAACCCAAACCTCCCTATGTTTACCAGATCTGCTTACCTGTTCCCCTTGTCAGGTACAATCTTTCCCATACACTCTATGCCTCAACCACAAGAAAATGTCTACAAAATGCCAGGAAACTCTCACATATCAGTGTGTTGATTTACCATCTTCTTCTCCCTACTGCAGTAAGTTCCCTTCACTAGGTCAGACAGTTAAATCATCTTCCAGTTAAGTGTAAGGATTCTTCCTTTGTAATACTTTGTGATACCTTGGAAATGTCAAGGGTTTTCTCCTTAATGCTCCCACAGTAATTGTAACATTCACCAGAACTGTAACTGTTTCTTATTTTTTCTTCCACCTCATACAAGAGATGCTTCCAGCAGGGTCCAGAATAGTGTTGGCTTAGAAATATTGTCTGTGCAGTACATAGTGCTCTCTGCTGTGTCAACTGATACAATAACCCTAAATAATTGGCAAGGTAAGGGTTATTAACTTTATTATACAGATGAGTAATCTAGAGCTCAGAAAGGTACTGTGAATTGTCCAGTAAAAGTGGAATGAGAAATAAGTGCTCCTTCCATTAAACCACAATATCCCCCAGGTTGCTCAAAGCACAAACAGAGCAGCGCCAATATTCCACATATGAACATCACTAACCAGCTGAACAGGGATATGCAAATTAGTTAACTGATGCAGAAATCAGACACTAATGTGCAAACAAACAAGGACTTATTTGAGCTAAGTGGGCATGAATATGCAAATGAACTGGCTGCAATTCAGTAGATGTCATCACAATTCTACGAATGAACATTCTATATTATGACTATTACAATATTCATGTAGCATTCATACATACTATCATATATTACTGTAATGTGGGCTTTTCAAGTTTAAATTTGTGGAAAAGCCAAAAGTAACTTGATGCATATTTTCATCCACATCATAATCTCAAGCTGGAAATCAGATGTGAGCACACAGAATTCTGCAATCTCCATACTGAACCAAGCTGCCATCATCATTTACAGTTCAAGATGAGCTATTTTTAACCTAAGGTACTTTAGAAATAGCTTGAGCTTATACTACAGCTCCTGCCAATATATTCACCCTCATCTACCATGCACAGGCTAAGATATACCACCATAGTTGCATATAAAATGTTACTTTCCTATAAGAATTTTAATACAGTTGTATGGCTATGATGCTTGAACAAAATCCAAAATATTCAGTGTATGATGACATTTAGCTTTTGCCCAAGTGCAATAATGGCCTTTGTTTTCCTATTATCATCAGTATACCATCGGTTCTTACTGATTCTTAATTTCTTAATTATTAAGATGAACAATGGCCAATGTCATTTCACTGTAGCGTTGGCATGCCTTCTATCATCTCAGGTTCCTGAAAGTAACAAATAATAATTTGTAGAGGTCTATACATCTAAAGAAACTTCCTTAATTCATAGAAAAAGTTACATCCTACTCATGTTCTAAAACAAAACTGATAAGAGAACAGCCTATACGTTCACACTTTCATCCATGTATGCCTGCTGTGCATAGTGCCTGAAATCTGTGGCCCCTGTTCATCTGGAAAGCTAGTTTTCATCTATTACAATATACCTTAAGCCTTAAATACATGTCAGCCCTTGTATGTACATGGTTTTATTTTTTTTAAATATCCCAAGCCCAGAACCCCTCCAATCTCCACAAAGTCTAGCTTCCTATTTGCTTTCATCTATCTTTTATTTGGCTCCTAATTTATTTATACTTTGAGTTTCTCAAATAAGTAAAATCATGTGATATTTAGCCCTCTCAGTCTGATTTATTTCACTTAACATTACAGTCTCATGGTGTATATATTTTCCTATAAATGACTAAAATGTATCCTTCTTTATGACTGAGTAGTACTGTATTGTGTACAACTACCATTTTTGTGTAACCCATTATCTGTAAATGGACATGTAGGCTGGTTCCACCATTTAGCTTTTATTAGTTATACTACAAATATGGGTATGTATGTATCACTGTAATAAACCCAGAAGAGGTATCATTGAGTCAAATGGAGTCTCTATTTTTAGTTTGCTATTTATTATTGTATCCTGAGGGCCTAGGAAAATATCCAGCACAAGTAAACACATAATAAATCTATACAGGGTCAATAAGCAGGTAGTCCTAGAAGACATAAAAGCAGAGTACCTGCTGACTCTGTCATGGTAGGTGACTAAGTTCCAAGTCAGAGGATGAGGGAGAAGTAGGAGCAGATAAATCAGGAATTTATCTAACCACAAAGTTTTCTTCACATGAACTACTTAAGGTACAGTACAAATTTAGCGATAGTTCATAGCTTTGGCATCGGCCTGGAGTTTCAATGGAATGGTACAAGCCAAAGTACCTGTCCTGGTATCACAGAAAACTCTAAATTTGGTCTGAACTTCCAAACAGAAACATTAAACTACAAATGTGGTTTTGTCTCTGGACTTTTAAATACTTTGTTCTTAAAACTTACCTGTTTGTACTTGCACTTTTGTAAGATGCATAAAATATATAAAAATGTTTAAGACATACAATTAAAAAAAATAATGAAACAGCTTAAGAAAATAGTGCTTTTTATCTTTGAATCTTCAAATGTTCCTCTGTTTAAGTATGTCCTCTTCCATTCTCTCCAAAGGTGATCTCTCTCCTGAGTTTTATATTTATGCTCCCTTACCTTACTTTCTACACATTTTTTCATAAAGAATGTATGCCTATTAATACTATATTAATACTATTCAGTTCTCCCTGCTTCTTACCTTTATACAAATGGAATTAGAAATTGTATTATTTTATCGCTTCTCGGCCTTTTGGCTAAGATCAAGTATAGATTTTTTTTTTTCTTAAGAGCCTGATTTCAAGATTCAACCAAGGCACTGTATAGTATAGTTCATTCTTTGTTATTACCACATGTTCTCTACAGTATGGCTCTACGGCAATTTGTACATTGATCCTCCCATTTATGGGCATTTGAATATTTCTAGATTTTTGCTATTAAAACAATGCTGTTAGAAACATTCTTCTTACTAAATTTTCCCTATCAATTTGAGTTCTCAATTTATTAAAATGTATTTTCCTAAATGATATGAGGTACAAATCTAATTTCTTTTTATCTATATAATCAATAGTTCACCACCTATATTAATTAGTCTCTTTTTCCATGAAACTATTGTATAACATCAGCTTTTTCCTGTATCAATTTTCCTTCTGTGTAGGGACCTGGTTCTACACAAGTTGCTAATGGTGTTTATAGAGCCCACACAGAGGGTGAAGAAAGAGCAGATGAAGTGGTGATGTAGACCAGTGAGGCTCTGAATGCCAATCCTACTTTTTCAAACTATCTCCATTTTAATCTGTTTTCCATCTCAAAGTATGAAATCACACTTAGAAGAGTTCTACAACTAAAAAGCAAATTTGAAAATATTAAGCTATAAGTTCTAAAATACTTTGTACCACTAAAATCTGTTTTATTTTGTAGACATACTACATACAGGTGTACATGAATTTCTTCTGAATTTTGATAAATTATTTAGAGAAGGTCATTTCTACTAATACTATTACTATTCCTGGAGGACCCAAGTTTCACTTTTAAAATATAAAATTTTCTTATGAATTAAATTGTTCCTCATTGAGACAATGAAAAATTTGTTATTTAGCATTTTATCAGTTCCTACTAATGACTTTATTCACTATATGCCAGAAATGATTATGATCTTCTCTACTTTCCATGAAAGTAGCATTATAATACACTATTATATTTACCAAGAATATAATTTCTGCAGTTCTAAAATCCAAGCAAATGAGCCAAACTGTTATTTTTAACTTACTGAAAATTTAATATTAACTAAATGATGAAAAATGAAATATGACTTTTAAATTTCTCTCTTGCATCATGTTAGAAATTGTTATTTTTTTCATACATTTGATTTTTTACCAAATACCTTATAACTAAAGTATAATATATACAGGAATGTATTTACATCACTTTAAAAATGCAAATACATCATTTTCCCTCTTCTCATAACTATATAAATGAATAGAATTTTTGTAAGGTTCTAGGTTACCAATTAGTTCTGCATAATGACTAAATGTCATATGACTAAATGACATGACTAAAATGACATAATGACTGTCATATCTCAAGAGTAAGGTGCACTAGTAATGGCTATTTTGTACCTTCAAGATCCATTTTCTCATGTATTCCAGAATCTTCCATCCAGCAGTTGTTTATCCAGTAGATAGGATACTGTATGGACTAGAGTTTTTTAAAAAATAAATCCATTTTATATAAACTTCTTTGCATAAGAACATTTTTAAGTAAAATAATTGTCTACATCACATAGATTGAGGCTAGTAGGTACTATACATAATAACAGAATTGGCATAAAAATATTTTTATTTCTTAAATGATTTGAAATAATCCATGACATTAAGAAACTATATTTCTTAGGAACTGATGAAGAAATTATCATTTATAAAACTTTTAAATTCATTATAAGACAAATCTTACATATAAGTTAAGACTATTCTTTTAAACAGCAGGAATATAAATATACAAAGAGAGAGAGCTAATTTTGATATACTGTATTAGAGTCTAAAACAGAAAAGATAACTATGAAAATTAAGTTATTTTTGAAATAATTATATGCAATTTTCAGAAGAAAAAAATGTACTTCTTTTCATGTTCCCTACATATTGTTATATAATTATTAACAATATCATTAGGTAAAATTTAAAAGAATTTTCTAATCAAATTTCAGCACATAAAGTTCAACAAGTGTTTCTTATAGTTAAGGCTGTATAACAAATGTGCGGTATGAGTATAAAATTGCCATTCTAAACAGCATACCTCACTTCAGCCAAAATGTTCCTAAAAATGTGCATATTAGTAAAATTTTGCTTTAAATGCTCCATTATAAAACACCTTTCTATTTAAGAGACTTCTATTATATATCACTTTATAAAAAGTATAATCAACCTACGGTTAATCTGTCTCAAATCTTGTCATACCTTAAGGCAAGGCACCTCCAGACAGATTAATTACATACAATGTCATTAAGTATTCACAATTCCAGTTCCAAGCAACCCATTAGAGAGGGAAACTCAGAAAATCCAGGTCAGGCCAGTAAAAGAGGCCAGTTTTCTCTGATGCCAGTACTTCCATATTTACTATGTAAAGCAAATCCTTTCAGCAAAGTCAATTCGCAAGTGGTTGGAGCTTTACAGAATATTTTAATGTTAAGGCTACCGAAATGCCACTCATTAAACTAATGGAATAAAAATGGCACTCTAAAGATGGTATCACTGAGTACAAACAGGAGTATTAAGTAGCCCCAAGACAGAAAAGAAACTGTAATCAAAACTGAGTATACACTTCTAATCAAATCAATGTCTGCTAATAAACTCTACCTATGTATGAGTATTATCCTTATAAATGAAAGAAGACAAATCATAGGACTCCTACTCTGTTTATTAAAGCTACCACTAGGGCTTGTCAAATAAGTAGGCTTCTGCCTACAAATAAAGAAATAAAGATAGAATCTTTCTTCACCAACTATATAGGGATTGAACCTAGAGCTTCACACATGATCTAACCCAACCCCCCATCACATATATTTTTAAGAGCATATCAATGAATAAGACTTACATTCTGAATGGAGAGAAATGCAGAAAATCAAAATATTAACAAGTAAATAAAACATGCACACATTAAGCAAAGTATTATGAGAAAAATCTCTTAAAAAGCACAAAAAATTTACAGAAGGTAGGGCTGGGGATTTAGCTCAGTGGTTCCACCGCCTGCCTCGCAAGCGGAAGGACCCAGGTTCAAAGCCCGGTACCAAAACAAACAAATAAACAAAAAATTACAGAAGGTAGGGGTGGATGCTGGAAGAGTTCAGGAAACAATAATGAGATCTGAACAGGAGACACAGATGTAGAGGTCCTGTGTATCTAGGTACTCAGTAATTCATGGCTGCAGTCATCTGCGGAGTTAGAGTGAACACAGAAAAAAATCCCAGGACAAAACACTGAGACACCAGGTGTTGAGAAGGCTCAGAAGAAAAATGAAAAGTAAAGTAGCTGCTGAAAGATAAAGGAATCCAGAAAAGTAGAATTCACCAGGATGGAAGTCACTGGTGACTTTGAGGGGAGTCAACTAAGTGAACTGAAGTTAAGCAGAATATGAGAGGCAAGAAAAAATATGTAACTCTTCTACTTCCACAATGGTAATTTTTAAAAGCACTATTTTAATTTAAGTCAGTATCATCATTCTAATTTTCCCAAAGTTTAAACTTCTAACTTACCAGTCACAATATTCCCCTAAAGTAGTCAAGACTGAAAATGGCTCTATTTTTCAGTTGAAAAATTTGAGGTACCAATTGATTAGCCTGAGTTTATTTTGGACAGGAGCAGCATTACTTTTATTTTTTTTAACCTTCATGAGATAATCTGCTCATCAGTTACTTTATTCTCTTAAGGAACTGCACATTAAATCTGAGAAGCTATATTCAAGCTAACTGTTCATTAAATTTCTTTCTTCACCTACAGCACTGCAGTCTAAGTAAGCAGTACAATGAAGCAATAGAGAGGCTCAAAACAACAGGAGGTCGATTATTTAACATAGACACATACACATGTTAGATTTCTACCTGTTATCACACACCCTTTGAAGTAGCACCCCCACCTCCTCAGCCCAATTGCCAATGGCAGACTATATAATGAAAAATCTGTACTGTAACAGTTAGAGCCAATTGAGAGGGGTTGATAATACCAAAGAAATCTTATTTTTATATTATATTCTCATTTGTGCTTTGTTAGGCTAGGTAATATTTTTAATTACATAGTAAACTGAAAACGTTGGCAGGAACTTAACTTCAGTAAAATTTGAGCTTTTTAATGTTACTTTGATGTTCTTTATGGTGGATTTTTTTACAGCTCCCATGCAACGGAAAGAAAAATTGACCCCCATGAACCAAACCACTGGGAAGCAAAGCTTGCAGGTATGTGATATTAACAGAAGAGACAAAAATCTTCTGCCAATCTCTTATGATTTGACTGAACTACTCAATTATGCCTTTTCAAGGACAAGCTGAAATGCAGATCTCACTGTGGTCCTTGGATGAGTCAGATTAATGGAATAACTAAAAAGAGGCAGCCATTTTTAACGGAAGATAGGTGTGGTTTCTTTTCTTTTTTCTTGCTGAAATGTTAAAAGCATTCATCAGACAAACTTTTGTTCCTGAATGAATGCCATCAAACTTTTATAAAACCTAGTCAGCTGATTCATTTTCTCACCAAATGTGTGAGGTGTCAGCTCAACTGAAGTATTTTTAATGATTATTATGAACATGATGTGTTTGCTGACTGCTTTTTCTCTCTTGTAACCAGAGATACTCCTCCTATCTTGCTGAACATTATAAAAGCAAAAGACTCATATTTAAAAGTCCCATATTTTAATGAACTTTTTGAAGACTGGGAAACTTATAGTGGTTCTGTACCATGCTCTAAGAAGAAAATTTCTCTGCAACTTGGCAAATTTTAAAGTGTTTTTTAATACATACTGCAGTTTCTTCATGGGCTAGATAACTCAAGAGCAACTTTCCTACTTCATAAAGCTTATGTACAGTGTGACTGAAAAGAACAAACCATTTGCATAGCCTACACTGCTGCTTAAACTTAAAAACACATGGAAACCTAGCAGGATGATAATGGCTGACAGCAGCCCCACCTCCTTTTACAGTCCCTCTCTTTTTGTACAGTGATCTTTCTATCCTACTTTGCACTGTGACTGTCCTCATTCTCTCTGTGACTGAATCAACTAATATCTCTTGAACATTTACTGTATGAGGCACTGTGGAAAGCACAAGAATTATAATGCTATTAAAATACTACTTCACTAGTGGAACTTACAGTTTTATGTGAGTTTTGTCCCACAATTTAATATAGCAAGTACTCAGGAAGAGAACAATGAAGATATGGCAAGAATACATAACCCAGAGTGTATATGTGTTTGTGATAGGCTGGGGAGCAGAGTAGCCAGCAAGGAAGATTATCAGCATAAATGATCATTAAATTTGACGTAGAAAACTAACAGGATTTAGCCATACAAAAGACAAAACAATGTGTGTGAAAACCCTGAAGTTGTTACTGTACTAGAAATAACATTCAAGGAGAAGGAAGGTATTACATTCATTTTCAGTCAGATACTTATTTAAAAACTCCTCTAACTTTCACTACCACCCTCATGGGTTATTTTTAGAAAAATGAAAAAACAGACACAAAGGTCACGTTCCTTGCCTGAAGCTGCAACACTGTGTGGGGAGGTAGGTTTTTAAATGTAGATATTCTGGGCCTAGATCCTATGCTGCACTGCCACACTATGCTACAGTGTCACTTGAGAGATGATAGACCACTGAAGGGGAGCTCAAAATTGTTCCAATGGCAACAGGACAGTATTCATTCCTATTGTCTAACAAAAGAAGAATGTGGTATCAATCATTTATTCTGTTGACTGATAAGGACTGCATTTGAGTGAGTGAAAGTCTGCATTGCTGTCCTATTGATTATATGGTCTACCTTTTTATCTTGACGTTGTAAAGGAAAACTTCACCCTGGTGCAGGATGTCAATAGAAGAGGAAGTAATGTAGGGTAGGGAAAGAAGGGAAAAGCGAAAAGAAAAAAGAATAGAAGGAAAAAATGGAAATAAACCTTTTGTAAATAAGGAGGGGGAGAGGGCTGAAAGGAAGGGAACAGATTAGGGATAAAAGAATCAAGATATATTATGTATGGGTACAAATTCCTTATGATGAATGTGATCACTATGTATATATAAAATGTACCAATAAATTTTTTTTTAATTTTAAATGATTTAACAAGGATTCAAAGAAAGGAAGAGAGAGAGGAAAAAGGCAATCTTTATCACCATTAAAGGAAGGTAATACAATAGAAGTCAGGTCTGGAAAAATTACAAAGGCAAATTTAAAGTATTCCTTAAGGCAACACTGAAGAGAAATACAAATTAGGACACTGAACAAGGAACCTATACCAGCCCTAGACAATTTGTTATACCCCTAAATGACACTTCAAGTGCAATCCCAACTCCTGTAAGAAAATGTATTCTATGTAGCACCATCATTTCCTTCCATACTTTGCAGCCATTCTACTCTCCTAGGAGGTAGCTGCCTGTTACAGCCTGGGTTACCCTCTTCCTTGACTGATTACTGAGCAGATTACTTCTTTACAATTCTAATTACTCTCCAAAGTCCTCCAATTATGCTTTCTACAATGCATAATAATGCTTTAATATTAAATAAAATGTTGGTAGGCTATTCTCCTTTTCCTTATAGTCTAGAACAATAATGGCAAACCTTTTAGAGTTTTCAATTATATAAAATACCCCACTGCTGCACACAGGTTCACCACCACTGGTTTAGAACATGGTTCTAGGCTTTGTACTGCTGATTTTCATGTACGTGAGCTGGGAAATTATTCTGTGACATAAATATGAGTGACTATAGTAGAATCTTTATAAAAATCTACAAATTATAAGATTAATAATGAAGGTGGAAGTGGGATGACTAGACAACAGTCTTCAAACCTAGAAAGGCTGCCTGGTATTTTCACAGTATTTTGGTATAGAACTAAGATTAGACTTTAAGACTAAACATTTGATTGTATAGGCTAGGAAGAGCAAAATGCTCCAAGTGTTCCCAATGCATCAAAAAGAGTAAAGATGTTCCTATCTGCCCTTCATGGAGAAAGCACAGAATCTAAAAATCAAAATACATTAATTGAATCATTTCATCTCTTAACTCCTTTAGCAAGTCTATGTATACAATCTGAGTTATTAGTACTTACTCATATTATTATTGATGTATCTGTGTGTATGTGTGGTTATCCTTTATGAAGAATAAAATCCATAGATGTTCAAGTCTCCTACATATAATGCTGTGATATTATATATAACCTATTTCTTTAGATTACTTACAATACTAATACAGAGTAATTGTTATACTATAGTGTTCAGGGAATAGTGACCAAAAAAACTACATATGACTATAACTACATCCACAACCTGTGAATATGGAAGGCATACACATGCATGCACACATACATATACACACACACACACACACACACACAAACACATACACACTGTGCAATTTAAAAATGCACTATTTGTTACTCATTACAGTAAAAAAACACATTGCCATTAATCCCCCTCAAAATACTCTCCTCCCTCTCACTCCAAACACAATTATCCCATTGTTTTTGCCACTTTCTGAAGCAGTTCTGGGAGTCCTCTTTCTTGAGTATCTTTAGTGCACTTGTCATAGCTGCCTCAATATCCTGAATCATTCTAAACATTTACCATTCACGGTCATTTTGATCTTGAGGAAGAGCCAGAAGTTGCATGCAGCCAGAACTGGAGAATAAGATGGATGAGGACACATCATGTTTATATTTGACAGAAATTGCCATAAAGATTTTGAACTGAAAACAAAATATCAAGACAACCACAATAAAAGACACTCAAGAAAGTGGACTTCCAGAACTGCTTTAGAAAGTGGCAAGAACAACAATATATAAGTGTATTTGGAACAAAGGGGGAGTATTTGAGGGGGATGAATGGCATTGTCTTTTATTGTCATAATTTTTTTTAATTTCTATTTAAAAATTCAGCATATTTTTAACATACAACATATACTTCTTGCTCTCATAACTGGATCTTGAGGCTTTATGATTTCTTTATAAATGGCTTATCCTCTGTAATGCTTACAATGTTTGACACTTAGCAGGTCCTCACAAATCTTTCTTCATTGGTTATTTTTACCATGATTGATGAAATCATTTTTATCACAAAAGAATATGTAATTGATTTTATTTTTATTTTATTATGATAAGTATTTTTCTTTTGCAGATTACAACTCCTTAGTAAGCACACATGAGTATCAAGTATCCTGTGTATCAAAATTATGTTGATCAGACTACACTATTCAGAGGCATCTTTATTCCCTTAAAACAATCACAGAGGTTTTATTTGCCCTTTTCCAAATTTCACTTTTACCTGCCATCTTCCAGAAGTTGTCAAAAACAGTAATTAAAAGAAGAGTAATAGTAGCTGTCACAGAAAAGAGGCCTTCTACTAGATTGTGACCGGAGCTGTCTGCTATTTAAGCAAAAGCTTGGCCTTTTATCTTTTTTGCTTAAAATTTCCACTTGAAAAAGTAGTATGTCTATAAGTCTTGTGGCCACAGTAATAGTTTCACATGCTTGGCAGAAGATTAGAGTAGAAACAGAATAGAAACTCTTTCAATGCTTGTTTCTAGAAAGAATTATGTGAAGGCAGAACACAAACTCACATGCTATAAACACTTCAGATCTTCCTCCAGAAAATTAATTTGTTCAAAGAAGTCCAATCACCTACCTTGAAGTTCTCCACTCCGACTATAGAGTTCCCTTCTCTGTTCTCGCAAATAGGCACTCATACTGATAGCATGGGAAGATGATTCAAATCTGCAATGAAACACAGGGTAAACAAGTGGCTAGGTAACAACAACACAAGTGGTATCCAGATTTGCATTCCAAAGAGTGTTCAAAGTGCTCTCTTGGTCTGTGCTACACTCTCAGGTATTCCAAACTCTTGACATTTTGGCAAAACTATGACAGGGTCAGAGACAGTTGCCTCTGACCTTGACTTATAGATGATGTTCATGGCTAACACTCTTCTCTAACAGTATTTGAATCTTTTGCTTATTTTCCCTTTCATCTCTGACTTGTCTCAACTTGCCTTTGCTTTCAGACCATCATCATCCTTTGATAGGATTCCTACACACTCAGTACAAAAGCATCCTTTGGTGATTCTAATTTTGCTATTATCCAGCTCAAAAGCCACCAGTGACTGCCAACTGTCACCACAGACATTAGCTAGCAACTCAGGGCAGAACTCTGGCCCTTCTAACTCCCCCAGTTTAAGTACTAGTACAAAGACAGTACTGGAAATAATGCTGAATAACAACATCAAAGATGCAAGGCATATTTGTTCTCTCCCTAAATGTCCTAAAAAATGTTCTTTCCAAATGGCTGCTAGTTTTTTACTATGCCACCTACCCCACAAAAAATACTATCAAAAATACCAGGCTACCAACTGTTCATTCACACCCAACCAGAAACACTTTTTCAAAGGTTAGAAACATGAGAGATGGACGGACTCAGATAAAGAACAGTCACTAGGGCCGGGATTTACTCAGTGGCACTGCGCCTGCCTCACGAGCACAAGGTCCTGAGTTCGATCCCCGGTACCAAAGAAAAAAAAAAGAATAGTCACTAAAAACCAAAATAATAAACACAAAAAATGAAAAATAATCAGTAATAAAGAAAAACTTGAAGGTTAAAAGAAAAAAAATTGGATAAAATGATGAGATTCATTTTGACCCATCAAATGATGAGATTTCAAACCTGAAGTTTCACAAAGGCAGGATAGCAGTGTGATAAAAGAAGGAATCTTCCTGTAATTCTTGCCACTAAGGAGTAAACAACAACAAAATGAAAGAGCAGCTGCGACAATGGAGTAGGTCTCCAGCAACAAAGAAGTGACATAATTTTCTTAATTATGTCTCCTTTATCCATTCCTTAACAAGGAAGATGAATAACCAAAATCAATGTCATTCTGTAAGGGAAACACTTGCTTTGCTTGATCTTCTCTCTGCACCCCATCAAGGACTAAGAGGCACTACCAGCTTAGTGAAAAGCAAAGTGTGCAGTATTTCAAAAGTGCCACCTGCCAGTCAAGTGCAGAAAAGAAGCCACTGACCTCTAAAAAAGCATGCTGACAGCTATTGATCAGAGATGGCAAGGGAAAAAAATAAACACTTGAGCAAAGAATACAGAGATACACATTGTACAGTAAGAGAGAACTTAAGTACACTTAATTAACCTTGGCTAAGGGCAATTAAAGAGGGTAATAAAGTCCTTCACAGCTGTGATAAAAACAGATTACAGTTCTCCAAAATCTTAATCCTTTAGGACTTGATGTATTTTTGCTATTCAGAAATTCTTTTTATGTTTCCAACAAGTCACAGATTGATATAATCTTACAGTAAAAAAGACACAAGAGGTTATTCGGTCTCACCTCCTTATTTTATAGCCAAAGGCACTGAGGCCTAGTAAGACAGAAGAGCTGCTCAGGCACTCAGGCTCATTAATAGTGGAGCCAAGACTAGAAGCAGGCAAATGTCTAATAACCACCTAATTCTGTGTCAATGATAATAAATGGGTAACAAAGAAGCCATTTCTTTTCATTTCCAACAAATAGTGTTTTTATCTAATACCACAACTTTAGAAGCATTAGCTAAATGTTTGAACATGTATATATGATCCAAGGTGGAAAGGTAGAGGTTATTATGGTTTATATCTACCTGTACCCTCAAAGCCTCATGGAATCATAGGTGTAGCTTTGGGGGGGTAATTGGATCAAGAAAGTGTGATATTCATCAACAGATTAGTCCACTGATGAGTTTATAGCTTCATGCTAATTGTTATGGTTTATGTCTAAATGTCCCCCAAAGCCTCATTCACTCATAGGTGGGGCTTTGGGGGTAACTGGATCATGGGCATGTGATACTCATCAATGGATTGCCCACTGATGAGCTTGTAGCTGAATGTGATAATGGGAGGTGAAGCCTGGATGGAGGAGGTGGGTCACTGGGGTGTGGCCGGGAGGGGTCTATTTCCCTCCTTCCTCCCTTGCTCTCTGCTTCCTGCCTGCCATAATATAAATAATTCTCCTCTGTGATGCCCCTCTGCTAAGCCACCCTGTCTTGGATCCAGCTGACTATGGACGGAAACCCCTACAAACTGTGAGCCAAAATAAACCTTTTCTCCTTTAAGCTTTGGGTGTCTGGTATTGTGTCTTAATGAGACAGTAACTAAGACAAAGGTGACAGTGGAGAACATGAAATCTAAAAACCCTGAAGCCTGCTTTCCACAATAAACCTAAATAGAATGGTAAGTTGGGCTGGGAGGGAGGGAGAGAGAGAAGAAGAAAAGGGAGGCAGGTAGGCTGGCAGAAAAAGGGAAAGGGAGGGAAGGGAAAAGCAGGGCCTGCCTAATCAAGCAGCATCTAAGACAGTTTTAGTTGCCTCTGGGTATTTGGTAAAAAAAAAAAAAAATTAATGAATTATTAATAAAAAAGATACTTGAAGTGGTTCAGTCACTTAGGAAAAAAATCTGATAGTGTTAATACAGCATAAAATCCACCAATTTTGCTCCCAAAGGTATTTACTCAAATGAGTTGAAAAGTTCTGTCCACATAAAATCCTGCAACTGAGTGTTTATTGCAGGCTTATTCATAATTGCAAAGATGTCTTTCAACAGGTGAAATAGATAAGCAAGCTATAGTATATACACAAAGGAGTATTATTCAGCAATAAAAACAATTATCTAACAAGCCACAAAAAGAAGAGGGAGAAACTTAAATAGAGCTAAGTGAATGAGCTCAGTCTGAAAAGGATACCTGCTGCATGATTCTAAACATAGGGCATCCCTGAAAGGAAGAAACTATAAAGACATAAATATATCAGTGGTCCCCAGGGGTTAGCAAGGAGGGTAGGGAAGACTTGATGGAGACAGAGGATATTTGGATCTGCACCATTCTGTATGGCACTGTATTAGTTGATATGTGACGATTTACCAAAACTCCTTAGAATTGTACAACACAAACAGTGGATCCTAGCATAACCTATAGACTTTAGTTAATAATGTTATAGCAATATTTGTTCATCAATTGTAACAAATATATCATTAATGAAAAATGTTAATAGGGAAAATGGGAGGGGCAAAATATAAGGGAATTCTGTACTTCTTATTGTACTTTATACCTACAACTGGTTTAAAATAATTAAATCTACAAAATAAATTTTAAAAGATTAACAGAATCACACCCTACTTCCTTGCCCTTTTTTTCAGAATGGAAATGATACAAACATCATGTGATTGTAATAAAGGACTGTTGCTTTGTCGGAAATCGTAAGGCAGAGAGATGAGTGCTAACTCCTTTATGCTACTTTAGTACTGCATAAGAAAATCTTCACATTCATCCTTATTTTGTCTGGTAACAATTTTCCCATATTTCCATCTGGAAGTTTTTGGTACTTGCATCCTAAAGCATTTTCCTTGATAGTGCATCTACCCAATGAATAAACTGGGTAAGAAGGACTGTATTCAATAAGCAGAATGGACTTCATTGCAAGTAGAAACATACTAAATCTCCTATCCATTAAACAACAACATAAACTAACTTTGAATCTTTCCTTAATAATTCTGAGTACTATCAATCCAAAGTAAAACAAATCTCAAAGGTGAAATAATAAAAGGTACTAGAGCTTTAGCTACTGAAAAGAATTTTTAAAAACTAGGATGTTACTTCTTATGTTTATAAATATAACTTTATAAATATAACTGTATAAATATCTATTAACCCTTCAAAAGGATACACAGGTCTGAAGTTAGACTGCCAGAAATTAAATCCTTTTACCACTTGTTAGCTATGTGATCTTATATAATTTACTTAGCCTCTCTTGCGTCTCAATTTTTTGTAACGACAATTTGATTAAAAATAGAATACCTGCCTATAAAGTTGTAATGAGCAAAAGAGATAATTTACAAAAATGGCAAAATTCTCAGCTAGCACTTAGTAAGGAGTCAATAAGCGTTAGCTTCTACTGTTGCTGCTGAAATGTTATTACCCAAATTATCTTTAATTAATATTATTTTCAAAAGCTCACCTAGTACAGTGCTTCATACATAGGAAGCACTCAATCAATGGTAGTAATTAACAATATTAACATTAATAATATAAATTATTAGGTGTTACCAAGAGACATACAGTTTGAGCATATGGCCTGGTGGAGTTAACTAAGAGTAATTTTTTTAAAAAAACTTTCAGATCATTCTCTAATTAAACATCAAATCATGCAAATACCAACAGTACTAAGCTAGGGAGATTTGCATAACTTCATTAACAAAGGTTATTTCTTAGTACTTGGGACTTCTTTAAAAAGCTGACATACTTCATTTCCTTTCATTTCACATAAAATTCTCTAGAAATACCTATGGGGTTTCATTTGCCTTAATTTTATATAAAACTCCCCAGAAACAAATTTAAGAAATTTTTATTAGGAGTTCTAGACAGTCCAGTAATCATATTCAAAAATGGCTATTCTCAAATAGTCACATCAACTTACATAAAAAAGTAAATAAAATTGAATACATATATGTTTCTTATAAATTACTTCATATCAACTTCAGCTGCAACAAGTAATGGCAGTCAATAAAGCAGAAAATCATCCTACTGAGGTCTAACACTTCTTGACACTTCGCTTTCTTACCAGCCGAGTGATACTTACTTGAAAAGAGAATTTTTTGGTCTTTGAGGTTTCTTTTTGGCAAAAAAAGCTGCAAACTCTCGTCCAGTACTGGCGTAGCTAAGTGGGGCTGATGGTTCTGAGGCTGTATGAGTATTTTTCATATCCAAGTATTCAGTCAACAGCATCTGTAAAACCAGATAAACAGTTTAATTTTTACACATCTGTATGTGATGTCTACACATCTAATTCTAAAGCCTCATTACTGACATTCAGAAATATATTAACCAAGCTATTCATTTTTCTATTTGGAGATCTGAAGAAAGATTCATTATAGCCAGAAAGTCATCTATTGCTACCTGCTCAGGAGAAACTGTGATAGACACTGGTACATGGGGATAAAGGGTATATTTTTATTTAACATCTACTGTGGGCCAGGTAATATGCTAAATTAATATCTTTCTTTAATCATAATGTAATCCTCACTACTCCAAACCACATCAGCCTTAGTATCCAAGCCCTAATATTTACTATGGGCTTACTATGCTGCAGGCAATGTGCTAAAGCATGTAAATGTACTATCTCATTTAAAGCATAAAATTTTATCAAGGAAGTTCTCAGACTGTAGCATAAAGACAAGGGGCTCAGGAGCTACAAAGTAATCCCTGGTAGACTGATTCCAGAGAGGATGCTCTTAGCCCTCACTGTAGCAGCACAATGGGTAAGCAATTTATCAAACCTGCTAAAGACAGATATATAGAAAGAGAGGCTATAAGAAGCTCACAGGTCATAACCTGCAAACTTTCCAGGATTACTTCTCATCTTGAAATGAAAAGAAAAGCAACTTCTTTTCTGATCAACTACTGCAAATAGATCCTACTTATAAAAGCAATTTATGTCGGATCCAAAGAGGTTGGAAACTAAGCTTAAATCAGCTATTTTACCATTTCTAAGACACTAAACAGTTATCACTGCTACAAAAGAAAAGCATAGATCTATATCAGAAATCACCATAGTTCCTAAGAATATCTAATGGGGATTAAAATATATCAACTCATTTCTATAATCACTCACATTAAAATAACAGGCCAGGATTTCAACCATCTTTAACAGCCTCTAAAACCTATTCTTAACCATGAAACTCTACTCACACTAATAGCTTTCAAATACAGTGTTACTGGATGTAAAATATTTAGGAAAATTCAGAGAGGAGTGAACGACAAAATCAGGGTAATATATCCTTCAAATTTTCACCTTGATTCCTGGAAACATTACAAAAGAAGTAGTGAAACAATATAATAATATTTAAAATTAAGACCTCCATTTACAATTATTAAAAACTATCAGATTTTCCCCCATAAAGTTGCCAGCAAATGAAATATTAACAGAGAAAAAAGAGAAAAGGCTATGTTTTTCAATATAGCAGTCTAATTTCCCATATATATGGCCTAAAATATTCTGCAGTTTAAAAAAAAAGAAAAACAGTCATTTTGAAAATGGAATGGATGCCTGCTTAATTATACTCATTATCAATGGCAATTGTACTATTAAAACCACTATTAGTATGGTCTTTCAAATAGTTCATTATTTTGGTGTTCAGAGTAAAACAAACAAAAAAATTCCAAGAGTACACATGTAATTCCTGGTCTTATATCAAACACTTAATCAGCAAGCCTAGATCAAAGACCTCATGTTTTGCTTCTTTCTCTCGTTTCCCAACAGAACTCTTAACAAAAAAGATCTGATTTTAACAACTTCCTTAAGAATGTTTTCATTTACTTTAAATTAAATATATACTTACTTAACATAATATGGAAGGTATTTTTCTAGATATAAAAAGAGAATTCAAAATATACCCTTCCCTTAATGTGCTTATCTGCTGATGGAGATCCATACAGATGACTATGAAACAAAGGAAAAACCAGTAAAATATCAGGATGAAGAAATGCTTACAAGCGTTTATAGCAGGACAAGATTGTGCCTATTTAGGAGAATGAATAAAGGCTTCAAGATCATGGCACCATAGAAAGACAAAAATAAAATCTTGGAATTCTGAAAATAAAATTCTGGCCAATGGAACAGAATAAGCAAAGAAATAGTGACGAGGAAAAAGGGAATCACAGCAAACAGCAAATATTTTAGGTGACATAAACAATGAGATAAGCCTGGAAAGATGGTACGTTGACAAACTTCTAAGAACCTTTAATATCAAGCTCATGTTTAGTAGGCAAATACAAAATGGGGAGGCAAAAAAAGGTTTTGAATAGATGAATAAAATGTTGATAAATGTACTATACATAAATTAATCTGGCAATACATGAAATAATAAATTAGAAAGAAATAACAGTGGGAACCAAGAAACAAATGATTAAGGAAATTCTGTACTAAAAAGGGAGGAGAGCAAGAAGGGAAAGTCCAAAACATAGAATTAATGGTGATGATAATAATAAAAGAGGTTTTACAATGAAATAGTTCATACAAAGAAGTATAAACTTGAGGATCAACACAGAGGCAGAAAACAAAGTTTAACCAGTTCTTCTACAAAGGAAAGCAGAGGAGAAATAAAAACAGTAGCTAAAAGAGTACATATTTGAAGGACTAAAACTTCTGTGATGCCATGAATAATAACCAAGATTGCAAGAGAACAGGTTAAGTATGGATAATAAATTTAGTTTGGAATATAATGCCTTGTAAAGTATATGAATATTCATATTGTTTATCCTGAAATACACACTATGAAAAGGTACAGTGTTGATGAGATTTCCATACTTCTTTGAGTTAACCTGTATTAGGACTGCAAGTGTATGTCTCCAAGCTCATAAAAAATTATAAGCACTTTGAAGGACATATATCCTTAAATATCTGTAATCTAATTTTATCCCTTAATAGCTTTTAGAAAGGCTTTGTTAAAGTAAAATTCATGTACCATAAAATTCACCCACTACAGTGTACAGTTTGATTTTTAAGTAAATGCACATAGAGTATAACCATCGCTATAATCGTTTCAGAATATATACATTATGATGCTATCTATAAGTTTTTCATAGGTTCCTTTCATCAGATTGAGAAAGTTCCTTTTTTAAAAAATTATCAATGGAGGGTAAGTGCTTTGCTGAACCTACTGAGATGATTCCATAGGTTTGGACTTTTATTCTATTATAGTATATTACATTAATTGATTTCTTTTAACAAATCCCAATTAATCATTGTATATAATGTAGTTGATATGCTGACAGATTCAATTTGCTAATATTCTGCTCAAGATAATTATATCTATCTTCATGACAGATAATGCTTTATAGTTTCCTGTGATATATTTAGCCATGCTATTAGGATAACACTGGCCTTCACCGTACATGTTGGAAAGGGTTCCCTCATCTCTATTTTCTGAAAGAATTTGTGAAACCAGATCCAATAAACTCAGTCTGACGAAGCAAACCTTAGCACCTCTCTTCAAAGGGAGGGAGGGAGAGAAGGAAATAAGGGCTCCCTTATCTCTGTATCTGTCTTCCCCCCTTCCCCCTCTTCCTCTCTCCCTCTCTCTCTCTCTCTCTCTCTCTCTCTCTCTCTCTCTCTCTCTCTCTGTCCCTCCTCTTATGTTAAAGCCATTATCATTTTTCTGATGACCCGGGATATTTTTGTGTGTGCTGAGATTGAGCCAAGGGGCTTGTGCATGCTAAGCAAGTTCTATACTGCTGGGGAACAAATCAAGCCCCAGGATCAAAATTTGTAGTTAGCTCTGACTCTCTCCAAATTACCTACAAGTCCTATAGTTTTTTTATACTATACATTTCATGACCATTTCCTTTTTAAAATATTTTCATTCCTATATTCATCCTTTTATATCACATCCTCATTATCTTTCACACAGATTATATCACATCCATATTATCTTTCACACAGTCTTTCAAATAATCATCTTGCCTTACACTGTGTCATTCTATGTCACAACCTGTTACCAGATTAGGCTCAATTTAATCATTCCTTTGATCAAGTCCTTCAATGGCTTCAACACAGTTCCAATCAACCTCTATAAATCTAATTTGTTAGTTCTTTTTACACCACTACCACCTGATGAAACTAGATTATGTCCTATTCCCTAAAAAACTCAGTTATTTGTCAGGTCAGAATTTCTTTTTGGGGGAGGCAGGGGAGCAGTCCTTCCTGCCTATAACTACCAATTCCATCTTTCAAGCATAAGGAATAAGATCAAGAAAGTGATGATGCTAAGCAGAATTTAACTGATTTTAATGAACCATATTAGCTCTAGTCAGATGTTACTAATCAGAGTCCATATACATGAAGAAGATGCCACCTCATGCATGAGGAAACAGAGGTAGATGTTTGAAATTTTGGCATCCTGTAGAGGTGTTATCTCTTTGTTCTTGTTTTGGAAGTTCTTTTTGCGGTGGTCTTTTTACGTCACTTCCTCTTAGTCTTACTACATCAACTGGCTGCCTCTATTTTTCCCAACAGATGTCAGTATACATTGTGGGTAGGATAATTCATTCTTACCCTATTTTCTAGTTGGAGGTCAATACCCCACCAGTACACTGACACCCAAGTTGAGGCTATCAGGAAACCAGTGAGAATATTTCATAAGATGCTATCTGGCTTTTGTTACAATTTCTGTCAGTTATTAACAATTTATATTCACATACAGCAGACATGGCATATATAAAAAAATTGTAAAAAAATGCTTAGGATTGATCATGTTTCCCATACATATGCATATACTTGTTCATATCCATACATACACACACACTTACATATATATATACACACACACACAAAGGAACAAACATGAATGAGAATATTTTGTAAAAAGTTATGATTTTTGCCCTCCAGAAAATTATCATTTTTATTAACTGTCAACTATGCTGTCTCACTCTAATTGAAACTTATATTATAGTTTGGATCGCTCAAGAATTTTATCATATAGCCATCTGCCTTCTCTGCTGCCTCTTAGTTCAAGCCATGCCTTCTCTTTGTATCTCTGCCACATCTAATACTGCATCTTAAAGTGGGTACTCTCTAATAGGTTACCTAAATTGAAAGTAAGATGGTCTAAAGGGCAGCTATTTATTGATGCTGCATATTCACAGATGAGCTCCTCGGAGTGTAACTACAACACCCATGGTGAAACTTCAGGCCTTTTGAGGTACATTAATTTACTCACATCACAGGA